AAAATGAGTTTGGTCTTGTAGTGGTTGTCTTAGGTAATTGAGGATGTTTAGAAAAAGCCCAAACAAAAAAAAATCCCACTGATATTAGTTGCTGTGGTTACATTCCATTTCTGCTTTTAATTAAAATCACAGCCATAAATGTGTGAACCCCAGGGTACCTGAGTGGGGGAGGTGCTGTGAGCAACTCATGATCCCTTAGGACCATTGAATTCAATGTGAACCACAAATCACAAGATCAACTTAGAAAACTGTGTCACTGGAAGAAAATGTTGCTAGTATTTGATATGGGATCAGTGTACTTTTTGCTATAAATTCACATTTTTCTGTGGTAATTTTCCCCTCCCCTTCTGAGTCTTCTGCCACATTTCTTATCAGGTGACCAGAGTTCACCTAGAAGGGTTGAACTCACTGTCTCAGTCAAGCTTTTCAACATCAGCAGCTTTATCAGCTCCTGGTGACTCAGCATTCAGTAACACTACTGGGAAAGAAATGAATGCAATCCCTTCCATCAGATTAGAAATTCTGCTAACTATTAAGATTGGAGAAAAGTTGAGAAAATCCCTTTGAAATAATTTGCAGCATAGATTTTTTTTCTAAAATTTTTTAACACTTCATATACATTCATTAATAGAATAAAAGATCCATTCAATCATGCGTAAAACAACATCTAGAAAGAATGCAACAGAATGCGCTTTTCCTATTTTGAACAACATAACTAACGCTCACTACTGCTCATGCTTTTCTATCTCCATTTTAATCCTTGAAGTAGAATACTGTTCTGTGCTGTAAAAACAGTTCTGAACATGATGTGATTAACCTTAGGATCCCCCCATCCCCTCATCTCAAAGCCCCCTCGTACATGGCCTATGCTTTCTATTCATGTTAAACCATCTGATTTCCATATCATCCCGCTCAGCCTCACAAGCAGCTATTAGCATAACAGAGCTTTAGTGTGACATTGATTGAAGCCAGCGCTTCCTGAATGCAGTATCAAAGCATAATTTGCCAGAAATCAAATCTAATTTACTGTGTACTATTTAAATTTCTCAAAAAACGAGAGAATTTTCAATAGAAGGATACTAGGTCTCTTGTCTTAATTGTTCTTTTTTCATATTTTTGGCTAAGTCCTCTGAAATCCAAGCAATATATTTCCTTTTAGAGCCATTGTCTTTGACTTTCAAATGTCAATTAAACAAGTTTTTCCAGTCTGTTTATTCCAATCCAGTTAATGTTACATCTGAAACAGTAAAGGGTAATAGTCTGATAGGCACAACACTCAGTTTGCTGCTTCTTAACAGTTTTTTTCAACAGATTCTTCTAATGACCTTAATGTTTAGCTTGAATTAAGCATTAAAGTACCACATAACTTTAACAGCTGAAGCATAGCAAGCCTGCTGTTATTTCTCTAACTGTACCTTTTCAGAATGTTTTTAAAATTCACCTAATTTGAGAGAAGCAATAATGGCTTGAATTAGGTTTTGTCCAGCGTTAAGAAAAAGCTTTGAGCAAGTCATGGTCTCAGTTAACCTTTCTGCAAAATAGGTATAATAATATTTATGTATCTTTATAAATAGCTTCCATATATAAAGAGCTCTCTTTTTAGGAAAACTGAAGGGCCCAAGTGCTTATTCTGTCAAAGAAGGATTGCTGTCTCTGAGCAGGGTCTCTGGGAATAATGGCAGTCTTACTGCTTTGGTAGTTATACTTGACCAAGAATTACTCCTGTAATTATTAATCGTTAGTTTCAGTTTTCAATTTGCATTGTTCAACTAGAAATAGATAGACAAAACTGGTTACGGTGGAAACACTGTTTAAATGCTGTAAACAATGTCATTTTTGTCAGAAGTTGTCTATAAACAGAGCTAGAGCTGAATACGACAACAAACTGGAACAAAAAGGGGGGTTCCTTAATTATAAAACCCCATCTTTGAATAAATTAAAAAAAACGCATACAAGGTTTTATTTATCCAAAATTATGATTTTCATGTTCTTTCAAATTATGGTATTAAAGAGTTTGGCTGAAGGAATTAGTTTGTGCTCTAATTAACATAGTGACCAATAAAAGTCAGGTCCTTGTGAGATCAAGCAGTTATATTTCAATAAAAGCTCTAATTCATTTGTTTATGGTGAATTTCTATAATTATGGCTGCAGAGAAAAGCTAGAAATATATCCTTGCATAACTGTACATCACTGTTTACTGGAGTCTTTAGAAAGTCTAATCTAGTAGCTATGAGGCCACAGATCTTCTGTAGACCTAATATGATAGATGCTGGAGAGGACTTTATGTGTGACAGGGAGAGAACAGAGGAACAGGGTCAATCCATGCCGTGTAGATTATGTGGACCAAGCTACAGCCTTAATTCCTGCTTCTTTTCCTTATTGTTTTTGAAAAAAAAAAAAAAAAAAAGGATCTTCTTTTCTGCTCTTAGGAATGTGAGAGATGTTCAAAGTTAGGGGTAGGTCAAAAACTAGAAACTAGGACATTTCTTCATTTATGCTGCTACATGATTTGAAGAATAGGCTTATGGAAATGTCATGCCTTCTTCCTTCTGTTGAGTTGTCTCGGAGTACTGTCTGCATAACATACTCCCAGTGCACCAAGCATGCCTACAAAGTGATCTTAGGCATCGATCATGCTTAGGTATGATCTCCTCACACCAGGTTTTTAACGTCACACAGAAAGATTATGGTCTTGAGGCCACCCATAACACAGCATAGACATAGGACTCATGAATAGTTCCTGTCAAGTGCAGATATAACACCTGAAGAGATTAGAGGTTTTCTGCTCTCTGCTGTGCCCGAGTTTGCTATTGATTCTGTATTAATAACCTGGACAATGAACTTGTATGGCTGAGCAGCAATCTCTGAAACACTTAAGTCAGAACTGTAGAGATACCTTAGTGTAAGGTATGCCTATAGGAATGGAAGTTTCTAAGTTTAAGGGTCTTTCTTTCCTTTCCCATATGATAGAATGAACAAACACATACACTGATTACCCCATTACTGTTTTCTGACACCTGTAGGGATTGTATACAGATATGCTAGGTAACACGGGTGAGTGAAAAACAAGTAACTTGCTGCAGTCCAGAGCTTTAGGAATAGTATAGCGTGAGTTCAGATCCTAGAATATGTGTAGCAACACCTATGCTCTTACAGGAACCCCAAAACATATAAACAGGCAGCAGCAAGGCACCTACCCCTTCATCCCTGCCCTTTCAGAAGACTAACACCTGCTGAGGCCTGGGGAAGAGGTTGACACTTCTCTCTCCAGAGACACCAAAACCTGTGTTTTGGTCTGTGAGGCAGGCAGAAGACTCCTTGTGTTGTTCTTACCCTCTGCCTTCTAAACTGATGGTGATTCATGTTTATTAAGTGCTTTACAGTTCTTGTTTTAAGAGTGCATTATACCAGTACTATTCAACTGGTGCTCTTTAGACTCCTGCTGATCTGTAAAGCCTTGGGAAGTACCTCATGAGATAACTGCAAAGTGTATTTCAAAAAAAGCAGATCTGCATACATTTCTATGCAGTTAGCAGATTTGTGTCTGTGCTGTCAGCAGGTGTAATCGGAAGCTGGGTCTTGATTGCTCTTCGTGCCTAATTAAATAGTTTGTAATTATAATGGTGAAAATATGGTTTTATAAAACACTTAAATTCTGTTTACCTAAAAGCTTAGTGTTCCTAAACCATCTCTATCTACAACCACACCAAACCAATAGTGGAATAGAATAAAATGAATGTTGGTTTTTCTTTTACTGTTTTGTCCCCTTCTTTAGCCTGCCCCAAAAGTTAGAAAGTCTTTTGATGATAATATTTGGAGATACTGCTTACATTTTTAAGATATGCTGGATAGTATAAATCCAGTTCTAGTGAATTCCAGTGTTGAACCAAGACTAGAGGCTTTGAATGTCCTGCATAAAATAGTAATTTGCTTTGTCACATCATGGTCAACATAGTTGCTGATGTCAATTTTTTTCTCTCAAATCCTCCAACACTCCTTCTTCCCCACTTTCCTTCTGCACATTAACACCTTTTCTCTCCCTTCTTGTTCTCACCAAGCACTGACTTTCTATTCTCCATCAGTATCCCCAGACAAGTCAAACTACTCCACTCCTTTAGAAACTGTTCACTTCAGACTGTTTCCTGGACCCCTAATGTCTGAACACTGTTAATGCCATCTACTTGAAAACATATCCAGTCCTGGTTCTTCTTTCTTGTTTTAACTTCACTTTCTCCTTTTTTCTTTTCCTTGTCTCTTCCTGATCTCCTGAAATACCTATTCCTTCTTACCACTCACTGCTGCCCACTAACTCTTCAACTCTTGCTTCTGCCTTGTCTTTACACAATCTGGATCTCCCAAGTTTATGTTGTTTTAGCAACCATTCTTTTTTACAGTAAGTCCTCCTTCCCACTCCATTCTTGACCATGCTACCTCTAAGAGATGGGAGGGAGTTCTTGAACTTCCGGCCTTCTGCTGTCATCCAGACCTTCCTCTCCTTTCTCAAGCATTTCTAAAAGTCTAGAGGGGCAGACTGAAAAAGGCAGTCTGTATATCCTAATTCATATCTTGTAATACACTATAGCTCCAGCACAACAAACTCTGTGAAATGTAGAGGGCATGAGAGTGCTGATATCTTCCCAGTCAAAAGGTAGAATACATCCATAGCCAGCATTGTACACACCTGACTGCTGCTGCTCCTTAAGCATTTATTGTCATCAGAATTTACTCTAGCATGTATGGTTTCTTTCCTTTTTTTCTGGTTTTTGTTTTGTTTTGTTTTGTTTTAACTGGAGATGTCACATACTGATATCGCTGCTCTTTTTGTTGCTGTTGTTTTTGTTTATATATTAGTTCTGTCTATACTAATTAATGTTTCTGGTGTTATGTCCTCTGGCATAAAAAAAAAAATCTCCATAATGTTGTTTCTTTCCTTCAATATTCCTTATCTCCTGCTTGCAAAATATACTAAATTTATACCATGATTTTTCTTACATTGTAGCTCCCCCACAGTTTGTGGTGAGACCACGAGACCAGATTGTAGCCCAGGGTCGAACAGTGACTTTTCCTTGTGAAACTAAAGGAAATCCCCAGCCAGCTGTTTTCTGGCAAAAAGAAGGAAGCCAGGTAAGTTATAAGCACCCTATAAGTCTTTCAAGACTTTCTAAATAGTTATATTGTAAAATTTTTAAGAAAATTATTTATACTCCCTTTCACAGATTCTTTTAATCTTTCACAGGAATTTGTTTTTTAAACTATCACTATTCTCTACTGACATTTTTGTTGTTGTTTTTAAAAAATATTAATATTGTGAAGAACTCAAAGGCCATTTAAGTTGTGCTAGGTGCTATGTAAACATATAGAAAGGTAACAGTATGTATCTTAAAGACTTTTAAAGTCTGAAACCCCCGACAAACAGGTGGGTGAGACGAACATAAGTAGGTATAAAAGATATGACTCAATTTTTAACTAATCAGTCAGTAATTATAGTTCACAACCTGTCTAGACATGATCAAGCAGATATATATCTAGCAAGCTGATTTGCATTGGAATATTCTTATAGTGCATACAGATACAGGTTTTGAACATGCAGATGCTTTCTTCAGTAAAATTGTCTCAGGAAATTTCCAAATCTGGTTTTAGAAATATTTCCCTGATCCTTACGGTCATTTTTTGAAAGTGAAATTTTTGAAGTAACTATCAATGTTGCCATCAGCCAATACTAATTTTTATAGATTAATATTTGAATATCATGCCATGACTTTTTTTTTTTTTTACTGCTGTTACTATACTGGCATGATGTTACAGCAGAAGTCAGGCCTTCTCACTTTCAGCATGCAGTTCATGTTAGTATGTTAAATTTAAACACTGTAAACTATGTGCTGTATTATCTTTTGCACCTGAGAAGAGATTAAAAGGGACAAATGGGTGCCCAAGGACAGTGTCTTCTGCAGTTCCCTCATGAAGCCTGTCATGGCTGTTCTGGCTATCTATACTGTGTGCCCTTCTCCGTTGGCTAGATTAGTCTTTTCAGAGCCCTGTGCTACTTTTTCCCATACGGCGATATGTGAGTTAACTCAAGTATCTACACTGTGCTGAGCAGTACAGATGTGCCTTTTGTCTAATTTGGAGGTATTATGTATACCAGCTCGGTTAAAACATGAGGTAAGAACTGAGCCACAGATCTCGAGCTCTGCCCCACCTGCTTCCACTTCACCTTCTCACGAGGTCAGATAACTGGTCCAGAATGACAGGACCAAGGCTGGCAGCATTTTGTGCTCTGTTGCATTTGTGGTTTACGAAGATACAATACTATTACTTTATGAGTGTAAATTTGTGTGACTATAAGCTTAGTCTTCAGTGTGTTTCTCTCCATGTATTATTTGGAGAACTTTAGATCTAGCCTTCTGGAGTCACATCCCAGAAAAGCACAGTATTGTGAGTCAAAAAGTGTTCCAAGGGGAAAGTAGAATAGCATATTGAAATTAAAGTAAGAAGTACTGATGTGCTAACAAACATTTCAAACCCCTTCCTTGTAGTGCATTTTAATAACATGGTAATGTTTATGTAAAGTGAGCTTATAGTGTCACACTTGAATCTAATAAAGTGGACATTCATCATGCTGTAATAAAGAGAAGAGCTTCTAATTAAAGTAGGACATCATTTGCAGGATTAAAGTCATTTAGCGTAATTGAAAAGTGTTAATACTCTATTTTATCCTCCTCCATTGGTATCACTTCAAGGGTAAAAACATTTTAAGGTGAAAATGCATCTTGTGTCTTTAATTGAATGTTATTACCTACTGATTGTACCATGTTGAAGCTGTTTAAATACAAACCTGGAAAATTAATTACTGTATTGAGAACCAGATCCCTGAGGGTTAGAATGTCTTTTTTGGCAAATAAATGCAACATAAAAATTGATACCTACATGGTTTATAATCAAACCTTGAAACATAGCTCAATGTGATTCACTACACCTTCATGTTAATCTTAATTGAGCATCGGTCAAGTAACACAGGATAGTGTTACCATCTCAGTATACAATTTTCCAGATTTTGCAATTAAGATGCCATAGAATAGGTGAGTTTCCAAATACTGTATTTCATCATACAAATCTGGACGATGGTATTTTGGCCAATTTACCCGACTTTTCACTTTTGCATGCCTGGCTGTAAGTTGTTACTTGGCTTTACAATGCTTGCTTTTGCTTTTACTGGAGGAACTGTTTGCAGCACCACTGTTAGTGTTCAGAGAAATGTTATGTAGTTGTGTTAGCCCACTACAGTAACTGTAGGACATTTTCCATTGTGAATCCATTACTCAGTCCTGTGTTTCTGAGCACAAGTAGCTGGAAGGGAGAGAAAATCTTCCCTCCTGAGTCATTTTTTGTGCCAGCTTGTGCATAAACAGCTGGTTCCTTTGTACTAGGTAGCCTTTTCCCCAGAGCCTAACAGCCACCTGCCAATAAAATGCACCAGGGCAGGGCATGTGTAACCTTTAGACTCTCTGGATTATATTCTTCCTTGAGATAAATTCAGTGGTATTATATCAGGGATGACTCTGGTCCCCCTGTTTGCAACCCAGCATGCCACTGTTGTGCCCAGATGAGCAGCCCAACAGCTAGTTAAAACCAGAAATCGTAAAAACGTTTAAAAAGGGGTTGTGCTGTAATTTAGGACAAGTTATACTTCATAGTTATATGGTCTTTGAAGGGAGGAATGATGAGACTGATGAACTCTTCCTGATGTGTGGAATATTCACTGGGATGTGGTACCTCTCCAGAACAGACAAGCCCATTCTGAAGGAAAAAAGAAGGGTAGCTTCCCCTTTCTAATGCAGCGATAAAGAGGATTCTGGATATTTTTCCTCTTAAGAATTAGGAGCTTGATCCTTGAACTGTCTTTTATGTTGTGTTTCTTTTTACACTTTGCATAATGAGTGATAAATAGAGACAAGCTCCACCATACCAAAATTCTCTGCTTTCTCATAAAATTTAGTGGAGCTTTCATAATACCTTCATTTGGTAGGTATCTTTGCCAGGCAGAGGTTAATCTGAAAGTTCCAAGGCGATTCAGAAAACAGGGCAGTCTTCTGAGACCCACTTAGCCCTGTAGCCTGAAATTGTTTCAGAATTGCCACACTTTTTTTTTTTTCTTATTGGATCTGACATGTTTAGTGGGTGCATATTGATTTTTGAAGAAAAATTTGCTGGGAAAAATTTCTTGAAGATTGACATTGAAAGGGGGTAAGGGGAAAGACACCCTAGGGTGACAAGTAGCCTAGTAGGTTAATACAATTATAAGGCTACTTGGAGTGTTGGATCTTATTTAAAACATACCTCTCTACTTTGTCACCAAAACTAGAGAGATAAAGATGTCAGTTTCACTTCAAAGCAGATTTTTTTAAAATCCAAGTTTGTTGCTTGTCAGTTCCAAATCATTTTTTGTAAACCATTAATGGTCTACTGCAGAAGAAGCAGATCTACAGAAAATTCCTTTAATACCCTACTCTATACTTCTAGGTTTTCTTTTTAGCCCATATAGACAAGCATAAAAGTTAGTAAAGAATTGTCATTGGAAAGCACAGCAGAGCTATACAGAGCTGCAGTAATAACTGAAAGCTTATCACAGCATGGTAAAAGCATTTTGGGATAGTCCTGATACAAACAACTGTATTTTTCATAGAGTTGACATAAAAGCCAGGCCCTGTTTTCCTGGAATTACTGTTTAATTATTGTTTAATCTGTTTCCCTTTCTGTCTTATTGGGCCATGCTGCTGACCTTTCTGTTCACACTGCCTTGCTTTTCCTGTTCTTTTTTATTCACATCGAGAACTGTGCCAGATGGTATAACTTTTTCCTTGAAAACACAGCCCTCACCACTAAAACCTTTTCAGCCTTTTTCTGTATTATTGATTCATTCAGTCTTTTATCATATGCAATGGCTACTACATCCGTTCCAGTTATTCTTATTGACATCTCTCTTTTCTCCAGTCCAGCCCAAAGGCAAAAGCTAATCTCCCTGTTTTGTGCTAACTGATGTCTTATCTTACATGAAATTATTTTTTCTCTCTCATGATTTCCACATCAGATTTATACCCTTTCTCTTCACCCTTAAGGCTCCATGCTGCTTTTCTCCTTTGGTATATCTCAGTTTTAATTTCCTTTTACTTCTCCTTTAAGCTCTCATGCTCTGCCAGCTTCTCTTACTTTATGACCTGTTTGTATCTTCCTCCCAGCTTTCCTTCTGTGCCACGCTCTTACTTTCTCCTTTGCCCAGAACATATTCACAGCCAAACAATAGTGCTATGCTCTCTCAAGTCTCCAGGATTCAATTCTTTCTGCTAGTTTTCTGATGTCTGCTGTAGTATTGTGTCCTCATAGTTTGATAGCCAGCTAAGTATATTATTACAATTACATTCAGAATCAAGATGAATGTGTCACAAATCAAATACAAATCACTCAAGTGTGATTGTTGGAAAATTTCTCCTCGCCTATACTCCCAGTCAGAACACACCACTGTGTGCTGTCAAAGGGCTGTTTCCAATTTAAACTGCAAGTTGCCCAAGGCAGGGAAAGCAAGCTCTGTGTGTTCATAAAGTCATAACCACACTTACTTTTTCTTCTAGTTTATATATATTACTTTTAGAGAAAAATCATCGTCTCTCTAGCTGAAGGAAAAGTGGTGCTTTTGTGCTATGAATTGATGTGAGATGCATTATCTTTGCAGAATCTACTCTTCCCAAACCAGCCTCTCCAGCCCAACAGCAGGTATTCAGTGTCACCAACAGGAGATCTCACCATTACCAACATTCAGCGGTCTGATGCAGGCTACTACATTTGTCAAGCACTGACAGTTGCTGGAAGCATTTTAGCAAAGGCTCAGCTGGAGGTTACTGATGGTGAGCTATAGAAATTCCTATTGTTTTTTTTCCTGTCAAAAGTATTTTTAAAACAGTGTAAATAAAGGCATATGGGATCACATAATTCATATAAGTAAATGGACAAGTTTCTACAAAAAATACAATGAAAAAGGGTCTCTGTGCAATTCTCTATGATATCAAAACAGTGTGAAAGTCTAGATTACCCTTTGCTTGCTTTCTAGAAGTTCCTTAATGCAAACAATAGACAAGCCAGCTTAGAATCGGGTTGGTGAGAAAGCAAGCTGCTTGGTTCACTAGAGCTAAGATAGGACTGCAAAAAAGTACTGTGAAGAATTAATAGGTTTGTGATTAAAGCAGAAGAATGTGTCTCAGTTCCCACCAGTCTTCAGTATTACCTTAGGCGGCTAGTTTGGGGATGTGTTCTCAGCTCAGTTAAATCAACACAGTTGCCTTGAACTTAATGGAGTACTGTTGGTTTAGAACAGCTACAATGTGTAGCCCTTTAGTCCCTCTGTGAATAAGGCACCTATCTCAGAGCTATGTTCTAAGAATTTCTCAGTGTGATTAGGTGTGAAAAGATGCAAATACGTAGGTAGAGGACAGGTTTCAGGAAGGGAAAAGATGATCTGTCTTGATGCTTTGCATTTCAGAATTTTGGGTTTGAAGTTTATCTTGCCTTGAAACTCCATCTACAAACATGAATCATTTTCATATGTCAGGAATCCTGTTGATATCCTTCTTCATCCCATTGTGGATAGAAGGCAGTTTGCATCCTTTAATGTTAGTGAAGAAAACAACAGAATTCCTCTTATACTAGGAGACTGGCATTCCCCAGCATCATTATTCCTTATCTTATCTGACTCATTAAATATCTCCTGACAGACTTTGATGAATTTTTGCCATTAAAACTGTTGTTATATGCAGAGGTCTACTTTTACTGTTCCCTTAGAGACCTGCCTGCACCATGAAAGTTTGAAAGGATGTCTGATTCTGAATAATCTGGCTTTTCACAAGAGCATATTCATCACAAGTGACAGGTAGAGAGGTTCAGGCTCATGTTATAGAGGTTTGAGCATTAATTTGAAGCCTTTTCTTTGTTTTCCAAAAGCTGTCTATATTTTTATGACACGGGGAGATAATTTCTGCCTTATCCTTGCATCTTTACAAGCACATTGCTCTTCTGTAGTTTCTGGAGACTAGAGGCTAACTTTCACCCTGCAATCTCTTTAAATCCTTTCTCTCATGGTCTATGACAAAATGATGCATTTTCATTCAATTCAAATTTAAATGTAGATTAAAAGGTCATTTAAAATTAATGGAAAGGCAGTATATTTTAATATCTGTCCATAGTGCTGCCTGATGCAGTGCCATGACTGTGATTGGAATAAATAGAACACACAAACATTGGCTAAGAGGACATTGAGCTGTTAATGGTTGCACCTGCTGATGCTGTACAGATTTACTGCAACAGGGGCTGAGTGGATCAAATCAGGTTCAAGGATATTAGTGATGAGAAATTCTTTCAACAGACAAGGCTTGTGGCCCATCTTTATCTATTTCGGGGGGGTGGGGGAGGGCAGAAATAAATCCTAATTGATCTCTTCGGAATTTTTGTTAGTTTATTTAACAAGTCAACAGAAAGTTCGCAAAGGGTCCCTGCTAAAATGCAATCTCATCTACAATTAATTCTGATTAAAGGCAGTGTGCATTCCTCATTGCTAGAGAAAGCATTAGCTGGTGGCTCTGCTGCTCAAGGAATGCGAGGCCTGCGTTCTTCAAATGCTTTCCAGAAATCACTGTCAGCATGATCATTACGAAATAATACAAGGTTGCTTTATAGAAATACCATTTCATCCTTGAGTCAAAGGGCAGGTGAGGTCAGAAGAAAAGTGCCAGAACAATATTGTGGAACTGAGATTATATAAATAAATGTACCATTAGATCATAGATATTTCTTTAATTGCTTTCAGTTAGGAAGTTAGCCATAAGTGTCTAAATAATCTGTTTTGGTTGATGCTGAGCAGAAGTTATGGAAGCTAATGATCTTTATCAGTAGGGAAATCTAATTTAATGGTTTTTTAAATATAATAAAAGATAAATACTGTGCATGCTAGCTATATACTTAAGCATTAGTGTTCTAGTTTTTGGCTGGTGATTTCAGTTTTACTTCATAGCCCAGAATTTTTCTGTTTGGTTAATGATTTAATAATAGTGGCGAGCCATCTTTTTCATTTTGAACACATTTTTGTTTGATCCAGAGTAATTTAGATCCAATTGAAGTTCCAATACAGAATGAAAACATATGTCATGTGCAGAAAAACAAGTGCTTAATTATACCATATATAGCAGTGTTTCAGTTGTTACATTTTTGCACTTACAAGTCTTTACTGGAAATATTTTTAACTCAAGTGTTCACATGAGAAGAGATTACTAGCTGTGATGAAATGTGCTGAGTTGAGTGATAATTTTGCTGATTATGGACTGTGCTAAGAGCCTTCAGTGTATTTGAAATTCAAATCTTGTATTTTCTTGAAAGGCTATCGTGTAATCCACTGTCTAACACACATCTGGAAAAGCAAAATAATTTTAAAAATTGAGACAATCTTAGCAATCCTATCAAGCTCAAGAAGGGAATATACAGCTCAGTATTAAAATGACAGATCATGCAAATAAACCATATGCTTCCATCTAACTATGTCTGTCCTGAAGATAAAAAGAATAGTTTAGAATTAGTAATTTGTTCCATAAATGTATCCATCATGCACAGAATATTTTGGAGAAGATCTTAATTTCTCCTTATCTAGTCGTTATTAATATTTATTACTAAGAATTTTTACTGCTGAATGCTCAACTGTAGGATCAGCCTACTTCGTCCAGTTTACCCAGCAGTTGCTGTTTAGGGTGAGTATTAGGATGGGGGAGCGAGCTTAACCTCCCACTGTAGATTTTTCTGGCAACATAAGAATGAACTGGTTTACATTATTAAATTAATTAAAAAGATCATGTTTCTGGGCTTTTGAATGAAAACAAAAGACTGGACCTCTAAGGATAATACAGAACAGATGAAAAAAAGAAAAAAAGAGGAGTTAGCAGCATATCTCAACAGCTCTCTCCATTGATTTGGAATAGATACTTAAGGCATTTTTCCCAAACTCCTCTGCAATTTTTTTACTATAAGTCTATTGATTACTCTGGGGTATGACTCCTAAATCCTTCTGGAAGAATTTAATATCACTCACAGTTTACTCATCTGCAAGTCTGGCCACAGTGATTCCTATCCTTCAAATCTGTATTACATGTTTTACAGCAAGTGTGACAGTGTCAGACAAGAGAGATTCAGAACAACTTCACAGCATCCTGTGGAGCTCTTCAGCAATAAAGACAGAGGAAGGATTGCTCTCTGCTTTTCTACCTCTCAGGAGAGCATTCTGCCCTATCATACTAGTGTTCATCGTGAGAATTTCATGACTTGTGTCTAATTTTCCCCACTAATTCACCAGGAAAGCTTTTGAAATGTTGAGTTTGCAAGTGCCAAAGTAAAGACTGCATTTTGTCATTCTCTTATTTTAATTTCACATTGTAATTTACCAAATTCCGCCATAATTTAAACATGATTTCTGTTGATCCAAATTGCATTTGTAGTGAATAAGCTGTTCATTAACAAATATTATTTGTTCTTTTCTGACACTGCTCAAAATCTAAGCTGCATTTTCTCACAAAAGGAATCTGATAATTTTTCAGTTACCAGAATATGTGCATATTTGGTTGAGGGCAAATAGTTTCAATTCGTTTTGAAATCAACTTATCTTTTATTATGCAAGTGCATTTTAGTCTCACAAAATGTTTCTGTGGAATGGATATAAAAGTTGCCTGCTAGGAGAAAATGATATAAAAACTAAATTTAAAAAAAAAATTTGTTAAAATGCCTAAGAAAACTTCCAACCTTTTTGTGGATTTTTTTTCATTATGTCACCATTCTTCAGAGTGCTTATGATACATAAAAGATTTTCAAACCTCTAACCGAGTTTTGGTTCCTTATTAATGGGGAGACCTTTGTAGTTGGAATACAAGCAGGTATACACGTTTTAGAGGAGATTTACAAGTCATAGTTGTGAAGACAATACAGTCGTTCACAGATCAGTGGAAACCCTAAGTGTTCATTTAACCTTTAGCCTTAGTGTCATGGAAACCTGTAGTGGTCTTTCACCCATAACACCCTTGAAAATGAAGATTCCTTCTGGCCAGGAGACTTTCAATTACACTATTGATCAAGGCTATTTAAAGGATTATGAGCTCCTCATTTGGGCTGTAAAAAAACTAATTACATGCCAAAGAACAATATCTGTAATGCAGTAGGTTTTGAAAATACCTACATTGCTACACATATGAAAGACAATTAGGTGCAGCAACTAAATGCAGTGGAATAGTTAGCAATTTAAATATTTTTTTCCTTAATTTTTACCTACCTGTAAAACTGGGATTTGCTATTTTATGTTAAATCTAAATGAACATTTACACAGCTAAGTTTTCATTTGAATATACTTGTGCTGCAGGTAAGCTGATAGTACATATGAGCTGAGATCAATTCTTATTTCACCAAATGGCTGAACTGTGTAATCATAAGGGATCTTAATGAGACAAAAAAAAATCGTATCAAGGTGAAAGTGCATTACATTTTCTCTTTTCTTCTAACATATTATTTTGTGTCCTACCTCTTGAGTTCAGTGGGTGATGTTTCAGAATTTCCAAAATAGCTTTCACATTCTGGTGTTAATAAATAATCTGTATTGACTTTCTATTTTCAGTTTCAATTTCAATAAATGTGAACTCACACTCCAAGATGCTACTAATACTAATGATTCTAACCTTTGTGTATCTTGTTAACAAAAGAAGGTGGTTAGGTTTTTTGCAACATTACAATGTCAGAAACAATTATTTTAGGTATAAAATGTACCACTAACATCTCCTTAACAATTTTTATTTATTAAATAGCATAGTGAAAGCACTGTCGGTCTGTTGAATGTTCCAGAGGTTTTCATCTCAAACAGCTCAAATACAACAGAAAACATATTACTTCACAATAATTTATTTTCACTTTACTGTTAGAGTTAGGTGTTATGTATGGACTACAGTGGAACAGATTGTCAGCTAGAATAAATGATTCAAAGTCAGATGACATCAGTGCAGGCACACTAACTTACTCCGGTTTAGGAACTAATCCTGCCTGTTACAATATTTAATACAAATCATATAAGTGTTCAGCTGTTCAAAGATTTAAAACAGCAGCAGTGAGGCAGGTAAATATATAAAAATGAATTCTCATTTCTGTTATACTGATTTTATCCACGAGTCATAGCCTTGTTCATACTCAAGTATTTCACATTAATTTTGTATAAACACATCCTTTAGAAACAAAGAGTTATATTTTGCTGTATAACAGATGGCTCAGAGAATAGGCTCAACAGCAAAATTATTTGTGAAAAATTGGTCTTTCAAGAAAAGCAAACACGAATATCTTCAAGATATATCCCTGGTCATAGAATGAAGTTTATACACAGCCATGCACTGTCTCACTGGTTACAGAGTCATTTAAGCAGTATTTCAAGCATGCATATGTAAATTATTGGGGGGGGGGGGGGGAAGAGAGTTCATGGCTTTAAAAAGTGATGAAATTATTTGATGAGTAAGCTGCTGAGTGGCTTGATTGAGTTTGAACTTTTCTTCACTGGAAAGAGTGGTACAGTAATTCAGATCACTCAAATTATGAAAATATTTTGTATTATTGTGAGATATTTTGCTGGTGAAAACTTCCAAATGGAGCACGTATGGTATATGTGGTTGGTACCCACGCTAGAATGGCTATGGTGTTTCCCTTTCATAGATTTTCTCTTTGAGGCCCTAAATCAGGTAAGCAGTTCAGCGTATTTTGGTGTGACATTAAACATGTGTTTTAAGTGCTTTCCTAAACTGGAAGAAATAAGAGATGTACCTCAATTATTTTTTGATCAAGGTCTTAATTTTCATCCTATCTTAATAAAATGAGTCTGATGATCTTTGCTAACAGAATTTTACGTATCTTGGTGTTACCTCACAGTGGTGAAATAAAATTCTTACAAAAATGCTTTTCAAATATAGCAGTTAATTGTTAACATGTATCTGTGGGTCTTCCAAAATTAGTGGTTTTAACCTTCTGGAGGCTAACTTAAACCAGTCTGTTAAAACTGGTACTGGGTCAAGGAAGGGGCTAACTGCAGCAGGGGATCATTAAAGGTCTGGATGCCAATGCGTGTGTCACTGTTTAGTCTTGACAGATAGGCCTCCACCCATCATCCTCCAGGGGCCAGTCAATCAGACACTGGCAGTGGATGGGACAGCTTTGCTGAAGTGCAAAGCAACCGGCGACCCCCTTCCTGTCATCAGCTGGTTAAAAGAAGGATTCACCTTCCTGGGCCGAGACCCTCGAACATCCATACAGGATCAGGGGACACTACAGATTAAAACTCTGCGGGTGAGTAGTGATAACAAAACAAGCGGTACACAGCTAGTCTTGAGCTGTTGGTGTCTGCCTCAGGCAGCTCTGCTGTTTTGCTGCCTGTTGTCTTCAAAATCAACCTAATTGTCTCTTTTACTGTGAAATTCTCCCCAAATTGACATCTGCTTTCATTCTTTGACATTGTGCAGGGAAGGGGGTAAAAAATAAAAGAAGAGCCAAACTAGGATCAGATATTTCTAGAAGAATTTCCTAAAAATATAATTTATATTTAAAATCTTATATATGTTGCAATAAAAGACGAGCCGGGGG